ATTAACTTCCATGCTGGCCATGGAGCCTACTTAAAAAGAAAAAAAGAATGTTTTCAAACACATAAAGAGAAAATAGCATGCAATCCTCATGCTCATAGCATACAATCCTTTGTACTTGTTGCCCAACTTAATTAGCAACTTTCTGGTGTTTTTACTCTTTCAATCTGGAAGGGAAAGGCAATTACATGTGTGCAGTCTTCTGGCTCCTGTTTGGCTGAATGAGAATGGGTGTAGAGCCTAGAATTCTTTTTCAAGACATATAGAGCCTTGGCAGCCTGTGCTGGGTTTATCACCTTGTATGACAGTATCTTTCCCTGCCTCAGATTCTATGCAGTCCTTTGTTCTGCTTAAGATGTGGGGTCCTTAGCTTGTAGCCAAAGAGGGGTGAATGCAGGCCATTGCCCTGGGACCAATGCAGGCTGGGACCTGATGACCATGACGGACTAAAACCTATTGTTGAAGCTGATCTTGCTTTGTTTCCTATGTGTGAGAGTTAAGTGTTGTTCTATCCAGTGCCAATGTGAATCATGTCTCTCTTGGTGACCCTGGCATTTATAAACTATAGGGTGAGTAGACATCTTGTGATTACTGCTCTTGGTGGCAAGTATCCATACCCTATTTTGCTATCCTCCCTGCAGTAGGAATCTTCTTGCGGGGAGGTGGTAACAGGTGTCATTTGCTTGATAAATCCATTTGCACATATGCTTACACACTCATTTTATCTCCTCATGAAATTTTAAAAAGCAAATCCCCAGTGTAATAATTTCATATGTAAATACTTTAGTAGTATTCTATAACAAAGATATTAATACAACTACAATTTCATTAGCACACCCAACAAAATTAACAATCATTTTTTAACATTAACATTAACATTCTTTTTTTTTTAAAGATATTTTTTATTTATTTGACAGAGAGAGAGAGAGAGGGGCCACAAGTAGGCAGAGAAACAGTCAGAGAGAGAGGAGGAAGCAGGCTCCCCGCCAAGCAGAGAGCCCGACGCGGGGCTCGATTCCAGGACCCTGGGATCATGACCTGAGCCGAAGGCAGAGGCTTTAACCCACTGAGCCACCCAGGGGCCCCTAACATTAACATTCTTTAACATTAACCCCATTTATATTCAATGTGACTTCAGACTCTTAACATAACATTTAACACCAGAAGATGAGACAATGCCTACAATGTTTTAGGTAAAGAAAGTACAGTTTGAAAATACTATGTTTTCCATTTTGTTGTTCAGGCAAACATTCCATAACAAAAGAACTCAAAGATTACAACACCCATGGTTGTTTATTTTTAATATATGTTCATTGAAAATTTTCTAGGGAATTAAGAGAGAGAAAATTGGTTAAAGGATGATGCAAATATGAACCCAGTTAAATATATATGTAAGATTATAAAAATACAGAATTATGAATACAGGGTAGTCTGCAAATGTTATATACCTTGACAAAATTTAAAAAAAAAAAACACAAGGAGATGGTAAGTGAGCAGATTTCCTCATTTGTCATTGCAAGGAGTTAAGTCATACTGTCTAAAAGTTAAGAGTTAAGAGAAACATAGTAACTCCCATCTCATAGTGTTTTTCACTCACCTTAATTTTAGAGGAATCTTTTAGGAACCCGAATCTCTTGTGGTAGAATAGTACTTAGCTTCAGCGGTCACTCCATTTTTATACCAGCTTTTTATTTTTTATTTTTATTTATTTATATTTTAAAAAAGATTTTTGTTTGACAGATCACAAATAGGCAGAGAGGCAGGCAGAGATAGAGAGAGAGGAGGAGGCAGGCTCCCCGCTGAGCAGAGAGCCCAATGCGGGGCTTGGTCCGAGGACCCTGAGATCAGGGCCAGAGCTGAAGGCAGAGGCTTTAACCACTGAGCCACCCAGGAGCCCCTATACCAGCTTTTTAAATGTTAAATCCAGATAATATATAGTGTTTGCTTTCAAATTAAAATACCGTATGTGCCTTCCCATTTGATAAATGTCTATCCTTTTTCTCATATACTCATATGGAAAAATGTTTGGAGTTCTTAATGGTTCTAATAGTTATTTTAGGGTGATGGAATTTGGGGTGAGGTTTTATATTCTCTGGCATTTATTAAATTCACTGAGTTGTTTTGTTTTTGTTTGTTTTTTTTAAAGATTTTTATTTATTTATTTGACAGACAGAGATCACAAGTAGACAGAGAGGCAGGCAGAGAGAGAGAGGGAAGCAGGCTCCCTGATGAGCAGAGAGCCCGATGCGGGACTCGATCCCAGGACCCTGAGATCATGACCTGAGCCGAAGGCAGTGGCTTAACCCACTGAGCCACCCAGGCGCCCTGTTTTTTTTTTTTTTTAATGAGCATGACTATTTTTGCCAAGAGCTCTAATGGCATTATTTAAAATTTACATATATACATGTGTTAAATAATACTGGCATTATTAGAAAAGTAAATAATTTTGGTTCTTTTGGCAATGCTGTTGCTGCTGCTTTCATTTGCTTGCTTCTGCTAAGATTTATGGTAGAAGTTAGTATTTATTTCAGGAAACATCACTTACGCTCACAGGTATATTTAAAAAGAATAAGCAATCACTTCACACCTATTAGGATAACTATTAAAAAAAGACAACTAGAAAACAACAAAATTGGTGAGAATGTGGAGAAATTGGAACCCTTATATCCTGCTGGTAGGAAAATGGTGCAGAGACTATGATAAAGTTTGGCAGTTCCTCAAAAACATAAACATATAATTACCATATGACTCAGCAATTCCACTCTTAAATACACTATACCCAAAATATTTTAAGTCAGGTACTCAAAGAGATACTTTCATGCTCATGGTCTTTGCAGCATCATTCACAAAAGCCAAAGGGTGGGAACAAACCAAATGTCCACCAACAAATAACAGAAAAAATGTTGTGTATATATACAATGGAATAATACTCAGCTATAAAAAGGAATCAAGTTCTGACAGATGCTACAATATGGATGAATCTTAGAACCAAGGGAAAATCAAACTAAGTGAAATAAGCCAGCCGCAGAAGGACAAATATTTGTATAATGCCATTTAAACAAAATATCTAAAATGGGCTAATTCATAGAGACTGAAAGTAGATTATAAATTGTCAAGGAATAGGGAGAAGGAGAAATGGGGATGACTGCTTAATGGCTACAGAGCTTCTGTTTCAGATAAATGGACAAGTTTTAGAAATAGTGGTGAGAGTTGCCCATTGTCAACATAATTAATGCCAGTGAACTGTACATTTAAAAATGGTTAAAATGGCAAGTTTTATGTTATACATAACTGACTTTTGAACAAAGTGGGGGTTAAGGGTCAGACCCCTTCCCTACACAGGAAAACCTGGGTATTCCTTTTGATACCCTAAAAACTTAACTACTACTAATAACCCACTGTTGACTAGAGGCCTTATCAATAACATAAACAGCAGATGAACACATATTTTATGTTATATGTATTATATACTGTAGTCTTACAATAAAGTTACAGAAAACATCAAGAAAATCATAAGGAAGGAAAAATACATTTATAATCCTATATATTTTTTTTAAGATTTCATTTATTTATTTGACAGACAGAGATCACAAATAGGCAGAGAGGCAGGCAGAGAGAGAGAGAGGGGGAAGCAGGCTCCTTGCTGAGCAGAGAGCTGGATTTGGGGCTTGATCCCAGGACTCTGGGATTATGACCGGAGCCCAAGGCAGAGGCTTTAACCCACTGAGCCACCCAGACATCCCTATAGTACTATATTGTTAAAAACACGAGTATAAGTGGACTCAAGCAGTTCAAACCTTGGGTTGTTAAGAGTCAACTGTTACAACAAAAAAGAATAAACAATGGGCTACACTCATTCAGCATAAAAGTTTTCATACAGAATAGTGTATGATTTCATATTGCTCCACAAGCTAATAATGCTGTATAGATTTACACACTTTAACCTAGTATTTTAAAAATTTAGGAAGATGTTTATTACAGCATCATTTATAGTAGAGAAAAAACTGGTAGCCAAACCAAAAATTGCTAAATAGTTGGACAAATTATGGTAATTAACTTTATGGGAAATTATACTGTCATTAAAATAATAATTATATAGCAACATGGAAACTGACTATAACATTATAGTAATATAAAATGGATATTTTATATATTGTAATTGGAAATATGTAAAATTATGTACCTAAGGGAAAACACCTAAATAATAATTAGGCTAGGGTTGTGGGACTGTGAAATTTTTAAATAACTATTTCCTCATTTCCGAAATTTGATATATTTTATTAAAAATAAATTGGGAAATTAGTACGGTTACAAGCTCACTGCTCCATTATGGAGGCAGCTTGATTTCACCCTGGTCAGTCGTCCCATTTGAGCGTCTACAGCTGAGTTGTCCAGGTATCTCAGGCCCTACTAGAGCTTTCCTCATTGGCCTCCGCCGAGAGGCTTTGTGGGAATCGGTATCCCAGCAAAGGCTGCGTCCTGCCGGTCCGGGGTGGTCCCAAGTATTGCATGGGACACATACTAAAAAATTACTTATCTGAGATAAAACTTAGTGGGCTTCCTGTGTTTTCATTTGCCAAATCTGGGAACGCTACCTGCACCCACCCTCCTACCGCCTTTCCCTTTCCTCAGTACCGCCCCTTTTATCACTCCCCTCTCTCAATTCCTTCCTCACTGTCAACTCCTCTCCTCTCCACTCCCACTGTCCTCCCAGAGCCCCGGATCCATCCTCCATCTCAGGGTCCGCGGAACCCGGGCTCCACCCCCACTAGCCGAGCCCCGGGTCCCCTCACCGCAACCTTGTCGCGAGTCCAAGTTCCCCTCCTCCTCTTTTCCGCCTCTGCGGAACTCGGAAATCTCTCCAACCCCCACTCCGTCACTGCCCCGCAGATGCTCAGATCCCAACCCCAACGTCTACTTTGTCCGGTGCCCGCGGATCCCCGGGTCCACACCCCCACCCCCACCTCCGGACCGGGCGCACGCGGCGCGCAGGCGCAGGCGCGGAGGGCGGGAGCGGGCGGAATGGGGACTGCAGCGGCGGCAGCGGCGGCGGCCGGGGAGGGGGCGCGCAGCCCGAGCCCCGCCGCCGTGTCGCTTGGCCTGGGCGTGGCCGTCGTGTCGAGCCTGGTGAATGGGTCCACGTTCGTGCTTCAGAAAAAGGGCATCGTGCGCGCCAAGCGGCGAGGTAGGGCGGGCCGCGCGGGCTGTGCTCTGAGTTGGGGGTGGGGGTGGATGGAAGAGCGGCCGGGCGGTGGGAAGGCGAGCGGCCGCAAGTTGGGGGGCGTTTGGGTCGCCGCTTGGTGCCGGGCCTAGGGAGAAGGCGGAGCATCTCGAAGGGGCGCGCTGCGCGGGCGGGAGACTCCTCGCCCACCTGCACGCAGGCACGGTTGCGGCCCTCAGCCCCAGAAGCGTAACAGTGGCTGCGGTGTTTTGCCCACCCGCAGTTCCAGAAGCGGCCCGGGCCCTGGTAGTTGTGTGTCCCCCACGCTTTCTCTCCCTCCCTAGCGGCTGGAGAGGCCTTGTTCAGTCTGATAGGGTTTCTCTAGCTGACTTCTTTCTTTCTTCCCAGACCCTCCCACTCCTTCTGCAGTCGCGCAGCCTACCAACCTGCCCTCCGTTTGGAGCCAGGTGTCCCTGTCACCCGCATCCACCCGCTACTAGGGAAACCTTCCTGTTTATCGTACTCCCGAAATGGTTGAAGGGCAGTGCTTGCCCAGAAGGAGCGAGGACCCTTTAGCCTTGGCTGTGGCCCTGGCCTCGTGTGCACTTGTGAGAGCAAGACCCGCTCATTTGCGCCCCCCCCCCCCCTGCAGTGGCCACGCCAGTACTGAAATAAGAACTATGCACCTGGCAGGCCAGGGTGGGACCGGTGGGCCAAGGAGGCGCTCACTCTCAGGGTCAAGGAAGAGGTCTGTGCTTTGCTTTAACTTCTGTTCCTGGAGTCCTTGATGGAGCCACTCTAGTTTAGACTTGAGCCATCTGATTACAAGTGATCTTTTACTGTGAAGAAAGCGCAGGGCAGATTTTTTTTTTTTAAAAAAAAAGCAAAAAAATGGACCAAGTTAGTATTCCTCTGGTGGATACACCACCAAACCCCACTCCTTAGTAATGTGGAAAGTGAGAGAGATGTAGCACAGTTCTTTGCCAGTGTCCCTCTGTTTTAAGAGACGCCTGAGACAGTTTACTGAATGCAAAATGTAGCATGCTTTGAAACTGAAAAGAAATGCTGCTCCCAGAAGGACAGAGAAACTTGTGGTTGTTAGCTGTATTTTCACAAGAATGGTGTTAAGAGTTCTGTGGAGGAAAACGAGACCACCAGGTCATGCATTTGATAGTTCTGATTCCAGATCATAGGTGAAACTTTCTCAGAGTGTCCTGAATGGTGAGTCAGGAGTCCCTTCAGGAAAGAGATAAAGGGGCCTGTAATCTCAAAGGACAATGTAAAATCAGGGCTATTCTTTTAAAGAATTAAACTTTGAAGTGAAAACACTGAAGTTTACATAAAATCTAAATAAAAGCAAGTATGACTTCCTTAGGATGCAGATGTGAAGACACATCTGGCAGTGGTACGTTCACAGGGAGCATGTATCAATTTGATTGGCTTCAGGGATATGTTAAATTTTTGCAGTGACTCAAAACTAAGCAACACATGTGCCTACTGGTAAGATGTGTGAGAGGAGAATTCCACCTCTATGGTGGTCCTTCCAAAAACCTACAACCCCAGTCTCACCATGAGAAAAACATCAGACAAACATGAATTGAGGAACAGCCTGCAAAATGCCTGACCAGTCCTTTGCTGAGGTTGTAAAGTCTGAGAGACTGTCACAGACACATGGACACATGACAATATTAGGGAAAATCTAAGGAAACCTTAATACAGACTTTAGTTAATTAAAAAAAAACCAATTTTCGAGTAAAACTTAAGTGTTATTTTAGCTCAGCTTATGTGTTTGAGGGAATTAGTGAATAAGAAAATAAAAAATCAACCAGAAAAAAAACCAGCCATGATTGATACTGTTATTTATAACTACATACTATGCCTTTAAATGAATAAAAGTGAGAATGTGATATTTGCTAATTTCATGCTTTGCCACTTACCCCCCAGTGCCACAGATTCAAGTTAGGTGGGTTGATCACAGTGATGGAAGGCAGACATATACATTTGTTTTGATAAATTTAGTGTTGATTTTTTTTTTAAAGATTTTATTTATTTACTTGACAGAGATCACAAGTAGGCAGAGAGACAGGCAGAGAGAGAGAGGAGGAAGCAGGCTCCCCGCTGAGCAGAGAGCCCGATATGGGGCTCGATCCCAGGACCCTGAGATCATGACCTGAGCCGAAGGCAGAGGCTTAACCCACTGAGCAACCCAGGCGCCCCTAGTGTTGATTTGTTCAATAAATATTCATGAAGCTCTTATTATGTGCCAGGTACTGTAGGTACTGAGGATATGCAGTTTTAGAATCTACTCTCCCCAAAATCTCTTCCTACCTCTGCTAACAAGCAGCAGAGTTGACCATTATGAAATGTCTGAAATGGAGGAGATAGGAGGAATGAAGAGGTAGCTAAGGACTAGGAGGTCAAGTTCCTGCATCAAAGGAGACTGGTCAGTTTCTTACACTATAAAAACCTGTCTCACTGAAAATTTCCCCTTTATTTTCTTTACAGATTTTATTTCTATATTTGACAGAGAGAGAGAGTGAGAGAGAGCACACAGCAGGGGAGTGGCAGGCAGAGGGAGAAGGAGAAGCAGGGAGAGGGAGAAAGGGAGAAGTGGGCTCCACACTGAGCAGAAAGCCAGATGTGGGGCTCCATCCCAGACCCTGGAATCATGACCTGAGCCGAAGGCAGACTGAGCCACCCAGGTGCCCCCTGAAAGTTTTAACTTTAAACGAATTGCCACAAGAGAGCATTTCTTTGGAGTTTTAACTTCAGGAGGGGTCTAGTCTCAGCCCTTCTACTGGGGGTTTTAGGGCAAGGCTTCCTCTATTACAGGCTTTCACACACTTTTGAAAGGCCCTTCCTTGTGAACGGAGTATGCAGGTAGTCCAGGAGCACTATCCACAAAACAAGTTTATGGGGGACTGCCTGACTCCTGGGAAGGACACTGCATGGGAAGAGGGAAGAGGACACACAGATTGTTTACAGTGTTAGAACCCATTTAAAGCAGGACTTAAGTGAGAGAAACAAGGTAATCATTGGGTGTGAAAGCATTTGTAGAAAGCCAGTTACAACTTTTAGAATTTCTGTGCACATAGGTGAGGATGCCCAAAGAGACTGATGGCATGAGGGTGGTATCCTGCCCTCAAACAGGCTTTGTGGAAGCAATCTCGGGAAAGTCATGTGTTTGAATTTGCTGCAGGCTTGCATAGTAAGAGAATTGCATAGTAAGTTACTGTATGTACAATGCCCTAGACCAGGATGAACCAGCTGATCTTTTTAAAATCCCTTTCATCGGGCACTTGGGTGGCTCAGTGGGTTAAGCCTGTGCCTTTGCTCAGGTTATGATCTCAGGGTCCTGGGATCGAGGCCTGCATTAGGCTCTCTGCTCAGCAGGGAGTCTGCTTCCCTCTCTCTCTGCCTGCCTCTCTGCCTACTTGTGATTTCTCTCCCTGTCAAATAAATAAATAAATAAATAAAATCTTCATCAAAACCCAGAGATGCCATCTCATACTCATTAGAATGGTTATTGTAAAAATAAAACATAAAATCACAAATACTGGTGAGGATGTGGAGAAATTGGAACTCTTGTGCGCTGTTCATGGGAATGTAAAATGATGCAATTGCTATGAAAAACAGTATGGCGAGTCCTCAGAAAATTAAATATAGAATTATTATATGATCCAGCAATCTACCTCTGGGTATAGACCCAAAAGAAGTGGAAGCAGGGTCTTGAAGGAATATTTGTACACCCATGTTTATAGTGGGAACAAAAGGATATAGCATAGGCAAAAGGTAAAAACAACCCAAATATCTAGATACTGACAGATGAATGGCTAAACAAATTGTGGTATATACATTCAAGAGAATGTTATTTAGCTTTAAAAACCATGGTAATTCTGACACATGCTGCAACATAGATCAACCTTGAGGACAATATGCTGTGTGAAATAAGCCAGTCAGAAAAGGGCAAACACTTTATGATTTCACTCATATGAGGTAGGTAGTCAAATTCACAGACACAGAAAGTAGGATGGAGGTTGCAGGGACCGCAGGAAGCAGGGAATGGAGAATTAGTGTTTAATGGGTACATTGTTTCTGTTTGGGAAGATGAGAAAGTTCTGGAGATCAGTGGTGGTAATGGTTGCACAACAATGTGATTGTACTTAATGTCATAGAATCACATACTTAAAAATGTTTAAAATGGTAAATTTTATGTTACATATATTTTACCATAATGAAAAAATCCTTTTCAGATTTCATAGTCTCCTTGCTGAGGAGTACAGCCTAGAGGTATAGTAACACTGTTAAGACACTCAGAAGTTGAGTGAGTTGTCTTGTGATAGTGGAAACTGGTAATTCAGGTGTTCCACCTGTTACCCCAAGCCTTCTGTACATCATTTCTAAAGGGCGCATTTTCCCTGGCTATGGTATATATGTGTGCTTTCTCCTTGCCTCTTCAGCCATCTCCAGAAACACACATAGGCACATGTGCCTCTACACCCAAAGACAAGACAAGCACATGTTGTCTTCAGGTAGCTCTTTGGTCTGTGGTTAGTTTCCACTGCTTCTGTGAACCCTCCAGATCTTGACAAATGAGGTCAGTTGTCTCTTCCCTTTGCTTCCTTAGCACTAGTCCTCATCACCCTTCTGCCCCTGAAACCCATGGGTTGATGGCCTGTTTACTTGTCTGTGTTCCCCTGGATCTTGGCTTGTCAAGGCAGGGCACAGCTCCTGTCCACTTAGGATGCATGTGGTGGACACTCAGTAATGTTATCTGACTGGCCATGAGTAACTGTGGAGTGAGGAGGGTAAAACTGAACCTTATATTTCCTGACAAAATTGCAGCATGTTCTTCAGTCTATGTGAAGCTAACCTCATTTATCTGTGGCCCCTACTAAGTAAAGGAGGCCAGAGTTACTGCTAGATCTGAACATCTACACCTATCTGATCTCTGTCTAGTCCTGAGGAAAGAGCACTGATAAGGAATATGGTGAGAGGTAGCAGGAGAGCAGCTCTGCAGCCTG